ATATTTTTACAGTACTATGACGGTTAGGGTAGAGGTAGACATTATTCATTCATTCATTCATTTTCGTTTCGGCTTAGTCCCTTTATTAATCAGGGGTCGCCACAGTGAAATGAACCGGCAACTTATCCAGCATATGTTTTACGCAGCGGATGCCCTTCAAGCTGTAACCCATCTCTGGGAATCATTTATACACACTCATACATTATGGATAATTTAGCCTACTCAATTCACCTGTACCGAATGTCTTTGGACTGTAGGGGAAACCGGAACACCCAGAGGAGACCCACGCAACGCAGGGAGAACATGCAAACTCCACACAGAAATGCCAACTGACCCAGCTGAGGCTCAAACCAGCAACCGTCTTGCTGTGAGGCGAAGGCACTACCTACTGCGCCACTGCGTCGCCCGGGTAGACATTAATAAAATACATTGGATAATTTATTGAGTAATTTAATAAATAACATAAATAATACTCGGTACAACTACTGTTTAATAAATAATATAAATAATTCTTGTTAACTTCGGGCCGCAACCATATCTGATCTAGCAACAACAACAACCGTCTAATAACCACCGTCCAACATCAGTCTAATATGCATGCAAGTTCAAAATCACTTTCATGGACTTATAATCTGCATTTATTTTTACCTGATTATCCCAGCGACTCGCATATGAATCGTTAGGGATTCATTTGTTCCCAAACCCCTCCTTAGCGCGAAGATAATATGCGCTGTTTGGACCGATGACAGCCTGCAACTTGGTCGACACTGACAGCCTTCAGCGCGAGATAATATCCATCTGCCCAGCGTGACTTTATTTGACCGGTGTGTGTGTGGCTTTGTTTTCTGAGTTAGAGGGCGGGGCAGCAGGTTTTAAATCTCCAGGGTGTGTGCGCGCAACTACTTGTGTTACGTGGATACATCATCGCGAAACACCTAATGACTCGTTATCAAGACGACTCGTTTGAAGCACTATGAGTCGACTCTTTTATAGATGAATCAATAGTTTTAAGCACTGTACACTTACAGATTTAGGCTTTAGCTGGATATTTCACTTCACTTAGAGCTGTGTTACACACTACATGGAAGGGCATTTTCAAAAACTCAATGTGGGCTCTTTAACAGAGATGTTGAATGTAAAATAAGATGAATAAATAAAAAGTAAGAAAACGTCCTGGATCTGTTTTTTTTTGCTCTTCTTTACTCTTTACTTTTTATAATTTTTTTAAATAATATAATAGAAGTATTGGACCCGGTTTCGGAAGTAGGAGATCGAGGGCAAAAAAACTGATCTGGCCTTCCAGGGTATTAAGGATGTCCCATCAAAATATCCCAAGATATTTACATATTTTGGCGATCTCCCTTATCTTACCCATTAACTTTAGGTTTTGGAGTCTCTTCTAATGTACCGATGAGTTGATTTGAGTGTGTTTGATTAGTAAGAGGTTGAAAATGTGTACTGTTGGTGTGCTCTAGGGAACAGGGTTGGGAAACACTGTTCTAGAAAGCCATTTGATAATACCAGTTAAAACCGCACTTTATTACTGAAAGCTCATGTTTTCCTTTGTTTAGTTTTTTTAACAATCCCAAAAGTTGACCTTTAACATGAGTGTGATACATGCAGATGCTTAAGGTGTTTCTCCGGGAAGACTGAACAGCTCGCACGTCTGTCATCTATAATGATCCTGTAGGCACACTTCTCAGACAGTTGAGATGTGGTAAGAGTTGTGAATGGAGTGTGCCAGGCCTTTCAAAGCTGAGTCATCCACTTCATTAGACATTCGCCAGAAGGTCTTGTCACCGTGCCAAAATGTTTCTAGATATTGTTCACACCTACGTCTCCTAACTCTCAAAAGAACAGTCAACCAGTTTGACCTGTAACGGCGAAGTGCTCGGGAAAGCCCGCTGTGAACACATTGTTTGTCATCGCTTACTGCTAAACATTGGAGCATTAGCATATGTTTATAAATATGTGGTCGGTGTTGTAATTTCCAGAACAGTGTGCAGCTGAAGGACTATTTTGAAACCTTCAGCATAGCCTTCAAACTGGCTGTTTATTCAGAATTTAACATGTGAAATAAATTAATTAATTGTATCCAGCAGAAGGGCATGATTTGAAAGGCTCATTTAACACAGCGTGGTAATGTTTGTTGGGTATAAACGCCTTTGGTGTAATGACCCTTTTGGCTTATTTGCCTTTTGGACCGGTGGTCTTTGACTTAACTGGGCACACTTCACATGAGGTTGAGAAACTGTTAGAGGTTTATTTGGAGTGTGCCAGGCTTCAGGGTGCGATTTTTCACAGGCTATGGTCTTAATTGAAGGGCACTTAAGGGAAGTGACAGCGTGGGACCTAAGACTGAGTCCTCTTCTCATAGAAGATAGTTGAATCTTTTTTTCCTTCTTCTTTTAGAAGAGATTTGAATTTTAGTGGTTCATAGTTTGTTTCTGTGCTTCAGCATGTGCAGCATTAGCTCGATTACATAACCGTGCCGATGAGAAACATTTGTTTTATTTAAAACTTTGTGGCTGATAAGATAAAAAAAAAGAATAATAATGTTCTTGTACTCAAAGTTATTCTATTTAAATACTGAATTAACAGCAATGAAGTGAAATAAAACAAATATATTTTAAATATTTCTAGTTAACTATTTTTAATTATTATATATTATTTAATATTTATAATTTATAAGATATTAAACTGAGTTTGTTTGACTTTTTTCATCTTTGCTGCCACTTTTGAACAATTTATTGTCCTTGTTCTTGGACAATAATCTTACTGACCCAAATCTTTACAATACTTTCTAATAGGGATGTAACGGATTAAGGTTGATCTGTGATTCGTGTGGATCACAACCCACCGTTCGGAACACATGTCCCCTGTGGATTAATAAAAAAAATATATATATATTTTTTTAATGATTAATCCTAAATTTGTAACGATCGCAGAAAGATCGCCTCTCGCATTGTTCAAATCACATGACATGATTTTATCACACATATGAAAACATTTAGGCTTTCCTGTAAAATATAATGATGACAGAAAAAGTTTTGGTGTGTTATTCGGTATGTAGTGGGTTTCTTAGGTTTATAAAGGTGTTTTCTGTCACGACTTGTTTAGACGTCATTAATGCATTCAGTGTAAGCTGCTCGATTAATCATTTAAAGATCAAGATCTCAACACCCACACAAAAAGTTATAAATGATGGTTATTTGCATATGTTTATTAATCCTTCGAATCGCTGCATTCAAATCTAAAAGTGCAAAAATCAAGAGAAATTCAGTCTTTAGTCTTGGGTTAATTACATATGTTACAAACAGTCAAATAACACAGAGGTACTGGAATAACAGTTTATAGTATAGATAAAACCACTTATGTTTATGGTAAAGATTAATATCACTGTCATATGCATTTAATGACGCTCAAAAATGAAAGTTGTAGGTAGCAATTAAATTGTTTAATTTAAATAATTAACCAGCCATCAAAATATGCCACTGAATAATTCTTCAAAAATTATACATCTAGCAATGAAACTTGAACTTTTATCAGTAAATAACTGAATAATTTATTAATAATGAGACCAAAAATAAAAATGGGTTGTACAAATGATAATGTTAGATTTCTACATTTAGTGTTGTCAGCAACAGAAGTAGTAACAGTGAATTTTTTTCACAATACTGAATATTTTACTATTTATTTTTATTCAGCAGATTATTTCGTCATTTTATCATTTATATATAAATACAGGTTCTAAGTTCTAAGAAACCAAAAGTTTCTTGTAATACAATGTTTTTGTAATAAATGGAAAGCAAATTACCTTTGTCTTCTCCCCTTTTTGGCTGGTCTGAAAAATGGTCCGATCCATGGCTTTAAGAAACCATAATGTGATTGGAACTATAAGATTTGTGATCGGTAAAACCATTACTTTCAAATGTTGATTTGGATGGTTTAGCATAAAGAATAGATTAACCCTAAAACACACATTAATGTTCTGCTTTATTCTAAATAAAATACCTGTAATATAAATATATATTGTAATTAAATCTGTATTTAATCTAATGAGAACATATTGAAGAGCGAAAAAATGAAAAGACATGCTTGATGTTCATCAAATGATGTAATCAAATAAAAACATTTTCATCAAATTAGTTAAAAAGCAGTGTTCACTATTACAAGTCCATGTCTGACAGTGCAGAAATGCAATTTTTTTTCTTTTTTTTTTTTTACTCTTTTTATATTTATCTTGTGTATTTTCACCAAAGATCTCTAATTGAGTGACTTTTCCCATGTAGTGAACTCAAGTCTTTACTTTCCCCTTAGTTTCTGCACTTTATCTATTGATTTGTCCACTGGAGGGCGCCAGAGCAGTTTTAGTACAGTGAATGACTGCAAAAGGAGAATAGCAGAGGTCAGGAACAGGCCCTCATCCCCCCGCTGTCATGTGAACAGTCCAGCGGGCAGCATGTGGTGCTCCTGGATCCCTGTAGACAGATGCAGCTGAATATTCATTGGCTGCAGTGCACTGATTTATTGTTTTTCAAAGACTGAGGAACTATATAAATCTTTTTATTTATTTATATTTATTTAATATGCCCAAAGTAATTTTAGCAGTTCTTGAAGTCTTCCCGTGAACTATATGCAGTAGTAGAGGGTGCTGTGGTCAACAGAGTATGCTGATTGTACTCTGACCTGTGGCAATAAACTGTTGGTCTTGTATATTTACATTCCATTTCCTGTTGGTTCACTGGAATTCTGCAAAAAGCATGGTATCATGTAGGTTTCCATCCATTTAACCCTGTCAGTCTGCAAGGATCAACAAACACTTTTATCAGAACTTTTACTGCTAATGCGTTTTTGCGTATCAGGTATTGCCTAGTCTAACCCTAATCTAGTTTGCATGAATTCTCCTCATACCCACATGCAGTGACTTGATGTTCCAGTGTACTCAGAAAACCAGTCTACATGCATCTCACCACTCTCTTTTTTTTCTTTTTTTCCAGATTCCAGATGAGTTTGATAATGGTAAGTCTTCCACCTTTCTGAAGGCATGTAAGGCACTTTGTTGTTGTTTTTTAAATGATGTGGATTTGTGCTTGCTTTGTTGTTGTTTTTTTATACTTCAGCAAGTAGTATCCTGAAAAAAATGGTTCATCAATAATATATAATGTTATTATCATTTATTCACCCTTGACTTGTTCCAAACAAGTTTGAGTTGTCTATTTTATTTGTTCAAATTTATTTAGATATTTTGAAGAATGTTGAAAACTTGTAATTATTGACATCCATAGTAGGAAAAGCAAATACCATGGAGGTCAATGGTTATCAGTTGCCAACATTTTAAAAAATATCTTTTTTTGTTCAACAGGAGAAAAAAAAACTGGTTTGGAACAACTCAAGGGCGAGTAAATGATGACAGAATAGTTTATTTACTATATAAGAACTATTTCTTTAAGATAGTTTTAGAAATCCATTGGATTTGGCCTGTTTTGAAATTAACCCTACGTCAAGAAACCTTGCAGATGTTCACCTTACTGATTTAACAGTTCAGTCTTTTTAAAAACATTGAATGTGTCTATCTATATATCTCCAGTGCTTAGATGGAAGTTAGCATGACAGCAAGATCTCAATTATGTGCAGCCGTTCAGTCTACAAGCGTGAAATGCTGGTATTCCCTGTGCATTTAAATGCAGAGCATTATTGGTCCCCTTCACAGCAGATGAGGACCCTTCTGGCCTGTTTGTTGTGTGTGTTTGTTCACCTGTCAGGTTAGCAGGGCACATGATGGATTTCTGGTGCCACACAGCACATTTACTCAGTGCCAGCGGGTGTCACCACACTTCACAGCCAAATGTTCCAGGGGGCTGAACCCCAGCTCTTGACCCCTGTATGCATCAATCTCTCAATTACACGGATTGGCCCTATACCAGTGCCATGTCACATGTGCCAATTCACGTTGGCATTTGTTTTGTTGCCCGTTTTCATGCAGCATTGACTCTTAATTGTGTGTTTTTAAATTATGAGGCTTGTGCTTCTTCTTTTTGTCTGTTTTAAGGTAACTGTTCACACAAAAATAGAAATTCAGTCACCATGTAATGTTATAACCATGTGTCATTTCTAACGTGTGTGACTTTTGTTACAACATAAAACATTTTTAAAGAACATTCTGGCCGTTATAACAGATATATTTTACATTTGACATCCATTTATGTCCCTTTGAAGTTTGGAAACTGTTGAATTAATGTGGAAAAACATATACAGGCAAAACAAAATAATATCGTAGCTCCTGACAATGTATTGAGGTCTCATGAAGCATAATGACCATTTTTATTTTTAATAATGTACAATGTATTGCACAGAACAATTGTTTGGCTTCAAAATACCTGAAACACATATTTGCGGGTGTTAACTTTGTTTAATCCACATGCATTTTCCTGGCTCTCATTAATTATTCATTCTTTTTTTTTTATGAATCAACAAAAAAAAAAAAAAACAGTGTCTTTATCAATGGTCTTCATAGTATAAATGCTTTTTTTTTTTAAAGCAGCAATCTAATAAATACATTTATTGTACTTAACTACCTAAAAAATATTTATATCTTATTCTGTAATAAATAAATATTATAAACTCTATTTATAACCCTAATGAATATGGAAATAGGCAGGGCTTAATTTGTGCCAGGACACGCGGGATGTGGCACCTATGAAAACTAGTACTGCACCTCATTTTACCAATCCCCCTCCTTAACCGCTCTTCTCCCCCATTCGCTGTTCACTTTCACTTTCTTCCGTGACTCTTCAATCTTCTTCACCTTCATACGCGACAACCCTGCGTTCTTCACTTTTGTCATTATGCCATCCGTCGACCCCACCCCTCGCAATTCACAAATTAAGCACTGGAAATAGGAAATATCTTACAACCCGTCTAGCTGCATGTTACAGTTTAAAAATATTTGACATTAAACCTTATGCAATATACATTACAAATCTTTGATTTGCATATTTTATTAATTGAATTCATCCTTACAGATTTTATCTAAAAAATTTTGTATTAAAGGTTTTGTATAAAGTTTCTAAAAAGATTTTGTATAAAAAGTATTATTGGACCAGTTATTTGTAAAATTTACTTTAAGCTTCACAAAAGGAAACTCATAAAAGTTTGGTACTGTATGAGGATGAGAAAATGATGATTGAATTTTATTTTATTTTTTCTCCTGTGGGTGTGATGTTCCTTTAAAATTGCCTTCCTGTCAGTGACTGTGTTTACATGGACATCAGTAATCAAATTATTTGCCTCATTTGAATAAGACAATATTATGGTAATGTTTACATGAGTTGCTTTTTGAAAGTTAGTTTCATGATCCCGTTTTGTATGTCATAGCACATAATTCGATTAACGTCACTGCATCAGCATGCTATCCACTTTTTCTCTGGAGTTTTATGTAATTTTGCGTGTTTAATTCTTAATTTGTTGCCTTTAACTGCAGTTTGCCACTTTCACTTTCATTCAGGAACATTTTATGCATGCCCCCGGTCGTTTGGGGAGTAAAAATCTGCATATCTCGATGCAGGTATCTGTGGTCCTTCACTGACTCGGTAGGTGCAGAGAATAGTGTCAAACAGCCGTGTGTGTATATCCTGTCACAAAATGCAGCGAAAATCCTACATGACAGTAAGAGTTTGATAGCTGCGTTTACATGTCTGTACTGCACTTCAATAATGCGACTTAAATTGGCATACTCCACATGTCTTAACCTGATTTTTTTTTTAGTTTGATTATGATTTTAATCGAATGAAATTAATAAAGAATCGCTGTTTAAATGGTAGATTCTTAATGCGAGTATTGTCTTAATCATATTAAAATCAGATTATTGATGTCCATGTAAAAATACTCACTGAAATAGCTGGTTTATGCTAACTTCATGTGTTTGTTCGTCTCCAAGCAAATTTATAACGCCATCAACCATAGATACTTCATCTTCAGAGCAGGCATCAGCATTAATAGAGTGAAGGTAGACGCTACATTAAAGCAGACCACCTGCTATTTTCATTTGCCCGCTGATGTTGATTGAGATAGCAGGCAGCTTTCGCATCCTCCACGCGATCGCTCGGTCTCATCATAATTACGTAATTAATTCTACACGTTCCCTGTAGTGTCCTTCTCTTCCCACACCACCTCGATTTATTACCTCCGAGCCTGGAGCACTGCTGTCCAACACTAATGCTCTTATAGCTTTTAATGCCATAACGAAGGGCTATGATTACTTTAGGGACCGAGGTGAAACGCCTACTTCCTCATGGGAGTGGAGAAGCAGGTTTTCGGCCTCCTGGGCCCAGATTCACCCTCCCTAACACAGCAGAAGGCCAGCGTGATGAAGAGTAGACCCTTGATAAGCAGCGTCCTCTGGGAGACGGGACAAGGCACACTTCTTTAAAAAAAAAAACCTTTTCTGCCTTGCCAAGTGACGGCATTCAATGCAGGACGCGTACATGTGCCTCCCGCGTCAGTCCGCCTCATTATCAGGAGCGGCATCACTCAATTTGCACAAGATGGCAACTGGCCAGTCTCTTTCACATGAAGTTATGTTTGTTATGCGACTGCAGAGACTAAAAAAATAAATCTTCCCAGTGTGTTTGTTTGAAACCTTGGAAACTGCTTGCTCGGTTTTATTTGTATAATGTTTGGAATTTAATGACAGATTCACCATTACCTGGGTCTGTTATCTAAAATGACATGTGTAGTCTTGTAGAGTGTTGATTGAGATGTATGTGGAGGAGGAATTGTTTTGCTTGAGCTTAAACGGACAAAGATTTCATAACAACTTACAGCTACATAGTAATCAGGAAATAAAATTAGAAAGCTGTTTAACATGCTCTGGTGTGAAAACTAAAAAGTATACATTTTTAGTTTATTTCCATTATTATACTGCATTGGAAAATGCTACTGATTCAAACTTCTAAGGAAAATTATCTTGAGGCTTTTAAACCTAGAAAAATAACTGAAAATAAGTTTGTCTAATAGATTTTGGTTGGATGTTTGTTTATTTTTGTCTGTTTGGATGTTTTTATCTGTTGACTAGGAGGAAAAATTACAGTGAAAGTGACTAAAAAATACACAAAAGCAAACAAAAAGTGCTCAGGGGCAGCTTAAATAATGTGTTGTTGCTCTGTAGGTAAGGGGTTCATCAAAATAAACAGCAAAAACCAGTTCAAGGCACTCAAAAAATGTGGAAAAATATTAAAAAGCCTTTCTTGACATGGCTATTTCTTATAACTGTGCCTGTTTTAGGAATAGTCGTGTCAATAAAGGCTTTTTAATATTTTTTCCACATTTTTCGAATGCCTTGGACTAATTTTTACTATTTATTTATTACTTTTTATTTATCACTTGCATGTTAAATATGTCAAATATCTGAATGGTAATATACTTATTTTTCTCTCTTTATATAGTATACTCTATGTAGGGTTGTGCGATTAATTAAAATCATATCGAAATCATGATTTAAATGTGTGAATTCCAAATAGCCTTACAGCACAATTTCTTATGATCTATGCATGGCAAAAATATTTGTAGAGTGTGGACATGTTAAAAGTAGACGCAACTACTTCTGATATGTGCTCAAGCAGAACCTCAGAGGCTTACTTGAGTTTGACGGCACACACACACTAAATTATTACTTATTATTATTATTAAATTAACACTTAATTTATTTGTTTTGTCATAGGCCTGTTCTAGAGACAAATTGTTACACTTTTATTAGATTTCTTTCATTTTTTTTCCCTTTTGTCTGTTTTAGAGACATGTTACAGTAGGGCTGGGCGACTTAATCGAAATCGACATTTAAAACCTCTAGTCGATCTAATTTTTCCAGGAAAATTTTATCAATTACTTTCCCAAACTGTTTGTGAAGTCACGTGACCCTGCTCTGTTAAGACTAAATTATACTTCTATTATGATTTATACTTATAATATTATGATATTATACTTCTGCCAAAGGCAATAGTGCAGTCCTGCGCAGCCTTCGCCTTCTCAAAAAAAATGTAATTACATCTCGCACCGACGCCTAGCGCAAGCTTTGTGATTGGTCTGTTTGGTAGCAGGGTGGCGCAGAGAGCCGAGTTTTAGGCAATGTGTGGTTTAATTTATTTGTTCAGCGTTGATGTTCAATAAATAACGATAGATAGTAGATAGTGTGTGTTTACTTTTAATTATTTTAAAATCAAGTAATGCACCCTACATTCAAAAATCTCTCACTTGTGATATGAGAGCATATTTACCGTACAAATACTATGAGGGCAAAAACATCAAATAAATACATAAAATAATCTCTCACTGATCGTAATATAGTTAAAATGTTCAATTAATTGAGATTTCGATTTTAGGCCTAATTGCCCAGCCCTATGTTACATTCATTTTTTTTTCAGCTTAGTCTCTTTATTAAAACGGCAGAATGAACCGACAACTAGCATGTTTTTATGCAGCGGATCCCCTTCCAGCCACAACCCATCTCTGGGAAACACTCACACACACACTCATTCACACACTCATAAACTATGGACAATTTAGCCTTCCCGATTCCCCTGTATCACATCTTTGGACTGTGGGGGAAACCGGAGCTCCCAGAGGAAACCCACGCAAACGCAGGGAGAACAACGCAAACTGACTCAGCCGAGGCTCGAACCAGTGATCCAGCGACCATCTTGCTGTGAGGCAAGCACAACCTACTGCGCCACAGCGATTTAAAGATTTAATTATTTTTAGTTGAAAATACATTTCAGTTTCACACTGTAAAACATCTTTGTGTGTGTGATTAGAATCGAAATAGTAATATTGTTCAAGAAAATCGTGATGAGTTCCTTTTGCCTGTATCGCAAAGCCCTAATTCTATATACATAGTATAGTATATACTATATTCTATACATTTACTGAAAAAACTGATTCTAAATGATATTTATTGTGAAAAGAACCACTGTTCCTCTTCAAAAAAAGAAAACCATCTTCAGTAGTTTGTTGTTCTTATTCCGTCTCTTGTTTGTTTCCCTTGAAACAATCACCCAGTTCAGGGTTGACTACACTTGGGCAAATTAATTAATTTTGACAGTGATTTTTGTTGTTTACTTCAACCTTGTGTCTTTGTACTTGGAGAATAGTTTGACCTCGAGCATAAAATGCCTCATTAGCAATTTGTAAGTCATCCAGAAGACACTAGCCCATGTCTGGTACTCTATCCACACAGAACAGTTAGATCCCCATAACACAGCACAGAGAGAGGGGCCGCACCTAAAGACCACTTTTCATGGCTGGAGAAAGCAGCGATTGACAGGGAGGAAAAAGGCAAGAGGCACCCAAAGAATGGGATGGAAGAAAGGCAATTGAGTAATGGCCTTTGGCAAACTAGCAAAGCATATGCTAGCCCACTGCAGGATTAAAGGAAGTCTTTGTTGTGTCCAGAGGCCTAGCCATCGATCTTCCTCTCCCTCCCTCCTTGCCTAAAAACTCAATGGACATCCCTCCGGAGAGCCACGGGCAACAATAGACTCCTCGCCATTTACACTGACAAACAAGGTTAGCACAAGAGACTCTTCAAAGCGCACACAGTTGTTCTGCGCTTCTCCGGTGTCGACTTGGATCAGTCTTCTCGGTAACGGTTCTTGCAACTGTTCACTCTTTGTATTGATTTCGGCCAAGTGGAAAGGGAATGACTTATGCCGGGACAGATGTGTGCCAGTTTGCACCGAGTTAAACAGATGATTGAGGTCGATGGAGAGGATAAACTTTCTCCAAGCGCCCCTTTAGAAACCATGAAAGAGAGAAAACAATAGTTCACCTACACAGCCATTCAAAGTTTTGGGGTCAGTTTTTCCCTCTCTTTTCAGCAAGGACACATTCAATTGATTAAAGGTGACAGTGAAACATTTGTAAATTGAACAAAATGTTTCCATTTTAAATTTTCTTTTGATCTTTCTATTCATCTAGATGAGGAATAGTATTTAATTAGACTGGCATTACAGGACTCAATGGCATTGTTGTTTTTATTAACAAAATGATTTTCTGAACTAATCATTTTTCATTATATTACTGTTTTTACTGTATTTTGTTATGAAATGAATGCAGCCCTGAATGCAGAAATATTTGTAAAAAATGTATTAACCTCAAACTTTTGGCTATCAATGTAAAAGGAAAACTTCTGTCATTATTAACTGACCTCCGCTTTCTTCAAATAACCGGTTTTTAACATATGGCAGGCAGAACGGGATCAGTGCTCTGAAAATAAACTTTTTGAAATCCAGCCTGAAATGGGAAGAAAATCCAAAATATTTTTTTTTAACTCCAGGCTTGATGAGATTTTCAGAAGATGTCATATCAGACACCCACTCGCACATGAACATTTACTCAAAGGAGATGTCAATATTGCAATAGAAACACAGCTGTTAACACTTTACAATAAGGTTGTATTAGTTAATGTTGGGTAATATGAAGTTTACTAAGATGAACAAACAATAAATACATTTTCTACAGTATTTGTTTATGTTAGTTAACGTTTAGTCATGTTTACTCATGGTGCAATAATATTTACAAACATGAATTTGTATGTTAATAATGGATTATGACATGATGAATTATGATTAATAATTGCTCTACAAGTTTTGTTCATATGTAGTTCTCATGTTAGAAAATGCATTATCAAAGTGCATCAAAACCAGTCCCTTCTTGTATCTAAAGTAGGCCTGCACAATATATTGTTTCAACATCACTTTCGCAATGTGCAAAAGTCGCATTGCAGGATGTCAAGCAAATTCAAGTCAATTAAAACAAATAGGAAGAAATTATAAAGTTTGCCACTTTATAAAGATTATTTGTTTACTTGTTTATAGGATGACTGTAGTGTTACTTTACATTTGATTATTAAATGTATTATTTGCTTTATGTTCTATTTGTGTCTCATCTGTGCTTTAATTAATTTTTTTGTGTTATGTGTATATATATATATATATATATATATATATATATATATATATATATATATATGAGCAATTCAATGCAAATGTCAACCTTATATGTATGTGTACACATTTTGCAGATTCACTCCCCTAAAGAAATAATCCCAATCGATGTAAAATTATGAATTCTTTCCAAATAATCGTCTTGTAAAATTATATTTGCGCTATATGTCGCAAAAAAAAAAATATTGCAATTTTTCTAATATTGTGCAGCCCTAATCCAAAGTCTTTACATTTCAGTCTGATAATATTATCATTCATTCTTTTATTCATTTTCTTTTCTGCCTAGTCCCTTTATTAATCAGGGGAATAAACCTCAAACTTACCCAGCACACGTTTTACACAGCGGATGCCCTTCCAGCTAACCCATCTCTGGGAAATACCATACACACTCATTCACACTCATACATACACTATGGACAATTTAGCTTACCCAATTCACCTGTACCGCATGTCTTTGGACTGTGGGGGAAACCGGAGCTAAGCGGAAACCCACGCTAATCCAAGGAGAGCATGCAAACTCCACACAGAAATGCCAACTGACCCAGCCGAGGCTCAAATCAGCGACCTTCTTGGTGTGAGGCGACAGCACTACCTACTGCGCCACTGTGTCGCCCTGATAATATTATAATAATGATAAATATTTGTTTTACGCAGCTTTCAAATTAAATATCTTCTGAAGACTTTATGGTTTGTCAAATTTTACTGTGCTTATTTGATTAAAAGTTCCACACAATTTTTAATTCTTTTTTAGAAGAAAGTCGGTCAATGGAATGACATTAGGGCAAGTAAATAAAAACAATAATCTATTCCTTGTGTTTCATTATAGGCCATGTTTACACTCGATCTGTGATCAAAAGTGGATGTTTACATAATATAGATGTAAACGGGATCTGAAAAATGTTGTGTGTCGACCTTTTAACACTTCCAGAGGTAGCCAAAAACGCATTCAACCAGATGCTCATGCTCGAATGCATCAAATCTGCAAAAATGCAACCTAAAGAAACAACCACTGTCTCCCTTCAGCTTAAATGCGATGATAAGACGTCCATCTCATCTCGCTCATTAGTCTCAAGGGATAGCTTCCTCCATTGAAGACTGCCAACAGGCACATGCTCCCTCAAAGAGTGCAAACACTCCCCCTCCGAACTAATCAAAAGAGAAAGAGGAGAAAAGGAGGGAAAGCGGCCGGAGGAGAGGGTGTTTAAGCACTTTGTATGGTCCCTCCCCCTTGTCTCCTAATCAGCCTCTGTCCTCGTGCCCTGATGTTGTTGACGTGCCCCTCGGCAGGACGACGGCATTAACAGACGCACAGCGAGCAGGCAGGAGGCGCGTGGAACCTGTGCCGCCACTTTATCTGTCCTTTCTGCCGCTCAAGCTGGCATATGGCATGTGGTGATTGGAGGGAGTAAAATGGGGCTAATCACTTTAGTTTGAGTGATGTGGGGATGTTCTAAAGTGGCCATTATTGTTAAATGCTGTCACGTGGTTATTATAATTAAGCTCCAAAGCATTTACAATACTTTTTAACATCTAATCAATGAAACGTGAACATTATTTTCATGTATTCATCTGATTTCTCTTTCCTATAGATGTTCCTGTCATCCAGCAGCTTAGAAGAACCTTTAAATATTTCAAAGATTACAGACAGGTTGGAGGATTGAAGAATAATCCCAATTTCATGATTGCTTCATGATAAAGAGTTGGTGTTAATAAGTTATGTTTTTGTTTTTGTAGATGATCATCGAGCCCACAAGCCCAAAGCTTCTTCCAGACCCTCTACGAGAGCCTTATTACCAGCCTCCATATACTCTGGTGCTGGAGCTCACAGATGTCCTTCTCCATCCAGAGTGGTCGGTATGTGTCACAGCTCAATTCAGATGTTCACGAGATTTGGGGATTTGCATTTGAGGATTTAGAACAATATCATTTTGTTTAATATTAATAAATGCTTTGCAGGAATAAATTGTATTTTTAAATGTAAAAGATTTATTAATATTTGTTAAACATAATTTTGTATTCCATAACTTTTATCAGTAGTTCAAAATAGGGTTGGGCCGATAGATGATGCATCGTTCATCGCTAATAGACAATATAATGCTGAGCTGGCATTGCCGATCCTCCGCCCCGCCCCCGTGGCAAACCCGCTCGTGAAAAATACGCACTTAGGCCCCGTTTACAATAATAAATCTTAGTATTAAAATGGCATTTTAGAACGAAAATGATCTACATCCACACAGTGTTTTACCTAGCATTTCTGAACAGCCCTCCGTCTGCTAAAAATACACATCATGTGACCACACAGCCACACACACTGTCATGCGCTCGTCTGAGCTTGAGAGAGCAGTGCACATCGGCCGTGCACATCGACCAGCAGTGCATTTAGCGACCAACCTTCCGCGGAAAAAGTGATTGACGGTTGTAATTTGTGTGCAAATTTTCTATTTATTTATGATTTTTTTATGGGTAAAGCTATTTTTAGTTATATAAACTAAAATTATTCATAAATAATTCATTCACCTCCGATAAGACGACGATGCCATGGTCTATCCCGATGTTTCACATTAGACACCGTACGATGCCAAATTGGTCAACATCGCCCGACCCTAGTTCAAATTAAAGTAAATTCAACTTAATAATAAATAAATTATTGTAAATATTCCTCTTTGTGCCAAACTTTGGAATGTATTCAGAGGTTTCACATGATTTTTCAAGTCATATGCTTCTTTTGTCAATTCAATTTTAATGAACTTGCATTGTGAGATATACATTTGATTAATATTATAAAACAAATGCTACTGGAAATCATTTCCAACCTAGAGCAAAATCAAATTAAAAAAATGAATATATCATATTTCAAATTATCTCACAATTACACGGTTACAATTGGAGACATGCTTCCAGAATGTGATAGGGCTCCAACTTTGGCCTTATTACAGGATGTTAAATAAGTCTTTTGTGTTTCCAAAACGTGTCTGTGAAGTTTCAGGTCAAAATATCCATCAGATGATTTTTTTAATACTCTGTTGATAATGCCAATTTTTGGGTCAAAGAGAACTGCAGTTGTTTTGGTGCCTGCATGTGCCTATTGAAAATTAGCTGGTTGCCACACTCTCATAAAATTTTGCTTCAGAGAAGGATTTCCAGGGTCAGATATCAGGATAAACAATGCAAAAATGACAGACAGCAACACGATTGAACAATGACACTTTAAAACAGAGACCCACAGTCACATTTACTACAGCTACAACTAAACCACGCAGAAATGCTGTTATAACATTCAAGGTAACAACACACACACGCACGCACGCGCATTTATCACGTTGTGCGGTTTTTGCTCATCTACTCACCAAATGGATAATTAGGCAGCTGTATAGAGATCCATTATAGCTAAAGTCCACAAACCCGGACTCCTGTTGTATGATTAAAGCGCCCTTGTTTATATTTGTGCACACTATGCGGTGAGCAGTTATGAATTATGTAGCTCAAAAAGTATAGTTCAAAATGCTATAAAAAATACAAACTGTACCACATACTGCTTCTTGATGTTCAGCTGTATCACAGAGAGTTGGAACAGATCTTTTAAATCTTAAAGTTTCTTTGCAAATTTTGTCTTCTGGAAATTTTTATAGACGTTACTATTGGCACAAGATAATAAGCGCCTGATTGTGGATTAATATTAGTGGGCAAGGGAACCACACTGCCATGTCATGTTGCAGTAGGCCCAAAATAGGATTTAGGTCCTATTTTAATGTCATTTTAAAATAAAAAAATATTTAAAAAAATAAAAAACGCAATATCACTGCAGTATGACACAGTATATCTACACACTTGTCCAAACAGCTTCCAAAAGTTGATTTTGCTCAATAGCTGCCTATTAAACAAAAAAGAACAATCTAAATGCTATTTGAAATAATTTTATAAACTTATTTAAAATATTAAAGACAATAGACCCTTTTACGCAGTGATACCAGTAAATATCCATAAAATTTCGGGAACAACTTTACCTGTAAATTCATAAAAAAGGAAAAGACCATTTACACGTATATTAAAAAAAAAGGTAAATTCAGACATCATTAACCAGAAATGGCCTATAAATGGCGTCACTTGTATTTGTAAACATAGAAGAGGTCTGGCAATTGTGTTTAGTGTAGAAGGGGTTTTCACTTTTATTTAAAGCTTTATCATTTGTGCAGCTGCTTATGAGACATCTAAAGGCAGAAACGCGAACCGCAGCTAAATGTTTACACGCTTGACTATGTTACAAACTCTGTGGATGATTAAGTGTTGTGAACAACTGCGATGAAAACGTATGGAGGAACACTTTCGCATATCGAGATGTGCATAATACTGTAAGTGTGTGTGCTGGCGCTAACCATAACACGTCTGCACTTCATGTGCACAAGCAACTGAAACAGCTTGAAGGTAAACGCATAGCGGTTTATCATAAGCATTTTGTCGATAATTATTTACACAGTTAGCATTAAGAAGGAACATAGAAATGTTATGTGACTAACATCTAGCAGCTTAATGTGTTTGGATAAATATGCAAAGGCTTTTATTTTCATAAACAGCACGCATGTGATTGCATCTGAGGGTTCTGATTGGCTAAATTAGACTTCTCTCACATCAGCGCTTTCTGCATGTGAACGCGCTCTTTCCGGCAATCTGCCTTCTGCGTTCACAAAGTGCAGCAGCATGTTACAACTTCTTCTCTTTTTTTTTTTTTTTTTTTTTTAGGAAAATTGCCGGAACGAATTTACTGGTATTTTCAAAAAGGGCCTGTTCACACATGCAGACTTTTCCGGAAAATTGGCAGTAATTTTTCAGAAAGGTCTGTATGTGTAAAAGGGGCTAATGGTTATTCATAAATTTAGAGTAATTTTGAGAGTTAAAAAAAATGCTTGAAAAAATATATATATGTTTAAAAAAATACCTGTGTTACAAACTTGATAAAACCCTGATGAGGTCTTATGAAGCAGAAGCAAAAGAACCTGAACATTATTTGCAACAAAATTACCTTTTAATCCAAAGCCTCTGGAAATGTTTTACTTTTATAGGACTAACATCAGAGGGCACAGGTATTTATATTGTGTTGCCTTTTTTACTTGGTAATTAACTTGCATTTTATGAAGCGCCAAAATCCAGGTTTCAGCTAGAGCTGCACAATTGATTGAAAAAAGATTGTGATCTTGATGCAACCCCCTAGATGATATTAATCCAGCATTTCTACGATTCTGCCAATCGTATTTTCAAGTTCAGGAGAGAAGAAAAGGCGGCTGCAAGAGTCTTTTCATTGTTTCGCACACGTTGTTCAGTGACTTGGACGCCTCCAAATCATGTTGAAAGAGTCACATGTATAATTCACCTAAAAAATGTCATTTTTGTCTTAATATAATGATATTTTCGCGGCCGACATCACAGGTGACGTGAGCTACTGACTGTGCGGGCGCGCGCCCGACTTAATGATAGACGCGCGCGCATCTACTTTAGTGAACAGAACCCGCATATGCTGTGAGTAACAGGTAATAAAGTTGTAAATAATATTCAGTTTGTGGCACAGAGTGATCATTTGAGAGCCGCGTGCGAAGTATGAACAGCACTTGGTAATGAAAATGAAACTAAAAGCGTGCTCATCATTTAAATAATCATATCACATTTTAGAGTTATGACGGCGACAAGCATCTGATGTTTTTTCTTTCATAGCGAACACACAGTTGTGCTTGAAAATAATGTTTACAGTGTCAGTATAACTACTCTAGCCTGTATAATGTTGATTTTACCAGTGAATTAAATGGTCTAATAATGTTCTCAATGACAGATTGCAAGCATAGGCCTATATCTCAAACATAATTCAACATTAGTATTATTATTAGTAGAATAGAATTATTTATAGAAACCATTAGACCTACACTTAATATTAATATTGTCGTTTTAACTTATGTTTAAGAAAAAACAATAATCTCATATTAAGCTTTATTTTACATCTATTGAATCGTGAGAGAATCGAGATCTTTATTTTAAGCAAAAAAAAAAAAAATAGCGATTCTCATTTTAGCCAGAATGAATTAGAATTAGTGCAGCTCTAGTTTCAGTTAAAAGTCTTTAATGGCCTACTGTAGAAAGATGTGATCTATATCTTGGAGAGAAAGTAAATTACAGCAAGACGCCCATTCTGTTCCAATGTAAACACAACTGTACCTGCTGTAGCATATTTTGAATTTACACACTTGTATAATGTGTGTATTTTCACCATATCCCACCCGCAATGAAGTCTTTTTTATATATATAACAGCATATTCGTGGGGTCTTCAAGTCTTAAATGTTAAAAACAAAATTTTCAGCCTTAAAAAGTCTTAAATTCACTGAAATTTTGTGCTGTAGTTCTTAAATAATTTAAAACAGGTCTTAATGTTCCTATGTCCATGTAAAGCTAGTCAATCAGGTAACAGCTATCCAATCACCAATAGTCCATCTCAATAAAAGTTAACAAATTTACAAACTTTTACCAACATGGATTAATTATCTTTCTGACAATAACATTTGTTTTTGATAGTTTTTTTTTGTTTTCACTGGGTCTTTTGAAAAAAAAAAAAAAATTTGCGTTAAGCCTTGTGTAAGTCTGAAATTTCAATTATTATGGTCTTAAAAAGTCTTAACCTGTAGAAACCCTGTATAAACAACCCTCAGCCACTTATCAGTTTATTACCAGCTATCCTTATCAATTCCTATTCCGCTAATCATATGAAGCCATCTGGAGTGCTGTTTTTGGGCAACCACCTGTTGCCTCCCTTACCTACTCCCTCCTCCCCTCTTGTTCCCTGTGTACCTGGCCAGCTGTGAGGGATGGGCCACACACAGGTGACAGGTGGAGCACAGCCGCCCCGTAACCTGACACACCTCAGCAGACTGTTACCGTCCCGCACGCCACACTGATTTCTGCTAAACCTCTAGCTGCGACTGTACTCTTACTTGTTTTGTTTTGCCTTGCATGTATTCTCCGGTGTAGTTTTTCAGTGCTGCAAAGTATCTGTTACTCGGAACATTGCAAAAGTACGATTCCTATCTCATAATACAGAAGTGTTAGGTTAAGAATGATGGATTAACATGACTTGGGTATCTAAAGACATACATTTAATGCTAGCAAATGAAAATCGCTTCATTCTGCTTAGCATGCTTTCTGCACGCTGATGACTGGAATAACATTAATATGTTCCAGTAAATGACTGAGAAAGATCTTTTAACAGTGTATTTCATTATAAATGCATTCCAGATGGGACGCCTAAAGATGTTAAAGATTAAAGCTCTGGAAATTGGAAACATCACCTATGAGCAAAATACGTCATAGGTGGTATAAGAAGGACAACTTTAGTAGACTAACAGCGGAAGTCTGCTGCATATTATATCCTTTCTTCTACCTTAGCAAGCTAATGAATGTAGTTGCAAAGATAAAAAACATTGCAGTTCAGATGTTTAGGGTTAAAAGACTAGCCAAAGCTGTGTTGAATCAATTGTACAGTAAAAATGGTAATTTAGTGGAAAGGCTTGCAATTTTAAGCTCCTGTTTCCTATTTTACTGTTTGAATAATATTAATTTCTATTTTAATGTTTAAATGTTATTTATTGCCGTGATGGTATTGACTTTTTAGCATCTTTAAGGTCTGAAATTTGTGCTTTTTTAATATAGTCATATACAAAGAAAATTGTCACTTAAGCAAACCTTGCACACTGAGTCTGATGCGTATTAATTAATCTATTACAAAAAATCACAAAATAATTCAGAGTCGGTTTAAGCAGTGATACTTTGTTCACTTTAAAAGGTTTGGTTCAACCAAATTACCTCATGTTGTCCCAACACGAATCAATTAAGTTAACTGAATTGTTTTTACAAATTTAAGTGTGTTGAACATAAAACAATGAAGTTGTCCCAAACAAAACATCAAGAATTGACTTGATTCAGCTCATTTTAAATAAGTAATTAGAACAAGCATAAAAAACTGTTGTTTTGAGTGTTCTTCTCTCTTCGCCAAAATAGAAAAAGAGGAATTGACTACATATTGTGTTCAGCTCATTATCCAAGGGCTGCGCTGGATTATCCCCTAATGTAAAGTTTATTTCAGGAAATCAGTGGAATTTTGATACATTGCTTGTGATAGTTCTCACATTCTCATATGTAAACAAATTCAGAACAGACACTGGCAGTACCTAGAGACATTATAACAGATGAAGTCCGCGTTGACATGTCGAAGCAATGGACAGAAAGCAGACCATGCTTTCTATTATAATGTTTATGGGCAGTATGTAAAATGTATGGACACAAACACAGGGCACAGCAGCAGGACAGAGGTGCGCCAGTAACTGAATCCAGCATATAGGGGCTCTCAACTGTCCGCCACATATTGTCTTTATTTCATACACTATTTGTTATAAAGTAATCTGTAGCTCAAATAACAGCATTCTGTATTTATTTTTTAAGCTGTATTTAGCTTTTTGCTTGTACGATGGCGCTCAAAGCACTTTTTTTGGATGCAAACCCAGTTTGAATTTTCTTATGACAGACGAATATTTCAGAGGCAGTGTCAATATGATTGATATAACATGAGGTCAAATAAAGTATTTTACGTGTGAAAATTACAGACAAAAATTTCGGATTCAGTGTACAATAAGCTTCTCTACTCTAGACAGAGTCTTCAGTGTCATGTTTGAAATGGAGATTTTCTGTAATAATATATTTGTATTTAATATTTTTTATGACTTTTTGATTGGTTTCAGACGTCCTTGCCAAATAAAAGATTACTTTGTTTAAAAAAACTTAGTATATAAACCATCTAGATAAAAAATTGTGCAAATAACAATTTTGCCCAAATAAATGTTGTTCTTTTTCCTGGATCTTTTCTGTTTCTTCTAGTTGGCCACAGGTTGGCGTTTTAAGAAGAGGCCTGGCATCGACTACTTGTTTCAGCAATTGGCGCCACTTTATGAGATAGTCATCTTCACATCAGAGACAGGCATGGTGAGTCTCAGGGGTGATCGGGACTGTCTGTTTTCCGCAATAATGCCATTTCAATTGGCTTATTTGTTTTCGCATACATTGTTTCAAATGCAGTTGAAAGGAAACGTTTCTTGAACCCTGCTTAGCATATCGGGATACAATAGATGCTATTTTGGGAACAGCAGCACACCTTGATATTTGTTGATTCTACAAACGCTCCGTCTTGTGCAGATGTATAACATTTCGTTAATAGGGCCATTAGACAGATCCTTATGCAAAGCTGCAGTCTGTTGGTGTTTGTGTGTGTCTGTTGTTGATCTGTTGGTGTGGCACACTTCTACAGTCATGCAAATTAGCCTTGTTTTGATTGAACAGCCTTTTGCTGTTGCTTTTTTGTTTCATTCTAATGTATGCAAAAGTCAGTTCAGCTGTTTGCCATTGTGGAAAAAAAGGCCCATGCGCCACCCTGATGCTTTACAAATGTTACAGACCATTTTGAGGATTTCTGATGGGAGAAAAACATGACATTAGTAGGTTTTTAATATGTTTGGTCTCCCTAGATGATAAATGATATATGTTAAATTACTTTAAAGTAGCTTACTCAAAAAAATATTGGTGAAAATATATTCAATATATATATTTGTATCTTCAGCTGAAATTAAATTAATTTTCCTCTGTCTAAAAGCAAGTAAGCCAGACTCCTGATATGCATATGTACTTTTTGTATATGCAGATGCTCTCCTTGATCAAGTGTTTACAAGTGCCTATTCACAAGTGATTCATTTACAACTTTTCACATGATGTATGCATGTCGGGGAGGTCATGTGATTTAAGGAGCCAGAACCAGCTCATTACACGAAGAACAAAGAATTAAGCACTGTTTTACTCATATATTAAATGTATTTTTGTCTATTTAGCTAAGGGAGACCATAGGGTTGTCACTAGAGTGACAATTTGACGCGCATCTCAGTACTGAACTCACAATACAGTACTTTAAGCCAAATAAAGAAGGTATTTTTAAGGAACCATTACTTAGACATATTTTAAAATAACATACAAATTAAAAACCTATTGTTCTCTATTTAAAATGCCACATTTGAACTTTGAGAATTTGATGATTCTGTAGCTGAATTATTAAGTTAGACTTGTATGATTGCAGTACATATTAACAGGCCAGTTTTTTGCAATTATTTTGCAATATCAAAATTCCCTCTTGCAACCATATGTTAATTATATTTCACCATCTGAAATCGAAAGGTTGCTTTGAGGACAAAAAAAATTAAATGGCACATTGTGGATTTGTGTTAGAATCAGGACTTGAAAGAGGACAAAGAGTTGTGCATAGTTTTGCAGCTCTTAGAGCAGAAACAAAATCTGCTGCTCTACATGCAGATGTCCATTGTCTCCTTTCATTCTCAAATAAATCTGTAAAAAGTATTAAGCGGGAATGTGTCTCCCACATATATTTGTATTCCACAGAACAAAAACCCATATAAACCTGCATACTATAACAACAGGGTAATCAGTGTAGACTGGTCCAGTGTGATTAGACATGCTGTGCACCACATGATCAGCTGCTAAAATCAAATCTTGCTGCTGTGGCAGAGAAACATGACGATGTAGATTTCCATAAATCAAACAGGAATGTTTCAGGCATTTAACTACATACAAGTTCTTGCAAAATCTAACATTTATGATTTGTAAAATACATGTTGACAGATATATCAGTTACACATTTAGTTTACTAGAACATTTATGTTTTCATCTCCTGCTCAGACCCGAATCATGTACCAACTTCCAAGTTTCTAAAAAAATTGCTAAAGTATGTTTTCAAAGTCCTTGAGGCTTCTATAAATGAGGCCATATTATAATAATAACCCCTTATATATTCTGTGAGAAGTTGATGAATTAACATGTTGTAAATCCAACAGCTCTAATCTCTCCACTGCAGCACAGACTAACCTGACCCCGCCCACCACTCCTTATTCATCATTAAGCTGTTTAAACGAGGAAATGCATACTCCTACACATGAGAATCAGAATAGCATTTATTTCTTAGCATAATAGGGTAAATGCACACAGACTTCATTTTAGCCAGCCATCAGCTTCTAGTGAACTGTCTTTGCATTACAAAATTGCCACGTTTAAGATCTGATTTCTTTAAAATCAGCCATCTTCACTGCCTGATAGATGTACGATATGAAGTGGGTCTCAGATCAGACAAGAAGCACTGCATTCAATTCCTTTTTTCCTCACCATGTCTTTAAAATATGACCGTTTATTTTACCCCAGTATTTTTAATGGAGTTTCTGCTTGCTGCTCCTGACGGCACTAGCGGTTACACTGTCTTTCATCTCGTTTTATGTTTTAACAACTAAATGAACTGATTGTATTTCAATTACATTACAACATCGATGCTGTAAAAGCAACCTTGTTAAATAAAAAATTATGACTTTAAGTCTGCACTGGAAGTTTATCATTGGCTGAAAAGCCCTAGCTGTGCATAGAGGCCAGTGGAACATTTGTTGAGATTCAGTAACGGTCACATAAAAAACCGTATGCAGCGTGGTCAGCAGAAATATTTAAAACTTATTTGAAAGGGTTAAAGCAAGGTGTAAGCATAGCACAATGTGCAAAATAGCAAAGCAAAACAAGATGTGGAATACTTTAAAGTAGCTTAAAAATATATTTTGGATCATCAGAAATGTTCTACGTCAAGCTCCATCCCCTCTTAATGGTTTCTTCAAAACCCTCATTTCTCTTTGCCCTGGGAAAGACTGTTAAATACATCTTGGATGGCCTGGGAGAGAAAAAAGAAACTGGCTGAACTATTTCTTTAAGGTTCTTCTTTCAATGTAATGTAGTTTCATAATGTGCATAAATGATTCCTGAAAGCAATATTGTGTTTTGTGTGTGGGCAGACAGCATACCCCTTGATCGACAGCATAGACCCTCAAGGATTCGTGATGTACCGACTCTTCAGGGATGCCACACGTTACATGGAAGGCCACCATGTTAAGGTAAACGCCGCAGTCTGTTTTCATATACCTCTGCTCCACACTATCACATTTGATGGTGACGTGTACAAACACACTCTCAGTATTTACAACACTTCTCTGTTCTTGTAAACAGTGTCCACCACTTACCATAAAAAATCATCGCTCTGGTATTTCCTACAGGGCCACGAATCATTTAGTCCTCATCAAAAGCATCTGAGATAAGCCACATGTCGAAGAACTTTGTTGCAGTCAGACAGATGCTGCTAATCTGACCATAAATGACGTATTAGTGGCTCAATTCACACATTCTAGGGCCAGTTTCAGAATGTGTTTGCTCTTAAGCTGCAATTCTGATGGAGTGATGAGCGATTGCTAACTTCCTCATTTAGCAAAGCTCCTCCATGTGTCTGTAATACAGTATGTTGTGATCTTATTGCTCAGGATCTCCGCCCCGTGGGCCCCTCGCTCCTCAGTGACCCGGGCAACATTATGGCGCGATGCCCCCCATGTCTGTGCTGCATGCCGTCCTTCTGTTCACCCATTGATTTCCCCACTGCTACGTTCTTATTCTTTCTTTCTTTCTTTTCTCTGCACACCAAGACAATAGCAATTTCTTCCCCTCCTTCTCTCCTCCTCATCTCGGGCCTCATTAACCTTCGGCCCCCTTCTTTCTCCTTCGTTAGGTCGTGTCCGTCGTTACCTAAGCTCAGTCCTCATTAGGCTTATGAATGGTGCCGAACGCTTAAAGATGAAAATTAGTTCTCAGTTAAAATCAGATTTATCGTTATATTCAGTTGAGATTATATTAGGGCTGGGAGATATTGCAAAAAAATTATCACAAAATCATGTTTCATATCATTTGATATCGAAAATTATTAAATATTTTTAGCAATACATACAGGGATATTAGGATTTTATATTTACCAACATTACTAAGGCAAATAGTTTTAAATGTCAAAAATGAAAATATTCAAGCAAAATATCTGATCTCTTTATAATAAAATTAACATAAGTGTTAAAGAGACTTTTAAACTTGATAACTAAAATTTTACAAAGTGTGTGCAATGGTAAAGTGCAAATTATAAAGTTAAATGAATACATTACCCCCTTATGCAAAAAAATCTGCTTCCAAGGCACACACTCAGCAAAGTTATAGCGCTTTATTTCGAAACTTTATACCATTTTTTTTTTTTTTTATCGATTTTAACAATGATGTTCGGTCAATAAATATCGATACCGATTTTTATCACCCAGCCCTTGATTATATTAAACTTATTTTTTCATTTTAGAATTTTATTTTGGGGAGGAAGTTAATATTTTTTTATCATGAATAAGAGTATAAATATTTTATATAAACATTGAGTTTTGAAAAAAAAAATGCTTACACAAAAATAATAAGCTGCTTCCTATTTGCATTAAAATCAATTTTAAATATTCAAACATTTATACAATCATGTACAAAGGGACATTTACACCCCTCAATTTTATAGATTTAACTAAACCCATAATGTCTTAAGTGCTTTGGCCGTTCATTTATGTACCAGTGTATTTTTGGAGCCGAAATACAAGCTTCAATAATCTTGCACTTTAAAACTCATTTTCAAGTCTTCGTTTAAACAAACCACAACAATTACGGTGCCAACCACTGCTGTGCTTATTACTGCATTTATAGTGGTTTTAACGTTTTAGACTCGTAATGGAAAAAACTTTACAATGTTTAGTATAATCATCATCAAACATTTAAATTTAACTTTCGTTTTTCATTTAGCTGAAACTCTCTCATCCTTTTAATTCAGCTAATAATAAGGTCAAAAAACGTTTGCTTGTTTTATGTTTTGTCATCATTTACTCACCCTCTACTTGTACCAACCCTATCAGAGTCTTTTTTTTTTTTTGAATGTAAAAGAAATTATTTTGAAGAATGTTGGAAACTAGTATCCATTGATATCCATGTATTTTATGTTGCTACTAGGCATGTCAATAGTTACTACTTTTCAACATTCTTTTAAATCTTTAAGATTTGACTTGCATTTTTGTGTGAACTATTCCTTTAAATTAACTTTAAATCACATGGATGGTGAACTTCCTGCTAATAGACTGAATAGAACCAATTTGTGTGTGTGTGTGTGTGTGTGTGTGTGTGTGTGTGTGTGTGTGTGTGTGTGTGCGTGTGCGTGTGCGTGTGCGTGCGTGTGTGTAGCTCTTCACTGCGGTCACATTTCACCAGTGCCTGTCTGGCCTTGTCCAGCAGACCCCCATCCACTCTCTCTAGCTCTCTCGTTCTCTCTCTTTCCATCCACCTTCTGCTAACTCATGTCTATTTCACTTCGCTTCTCCCTAGCTCACCTCCCATCTGGCCCTTAGAATCTGCGGGGGGAGGAGAAATCCGCCTTCCCAGGAAATAAGTGCAGAAAAAATCTTAAAAACTGCAGATTATAAATGCTGTTAAAAGAATGTGAAGTGTAAATAAAACTGTTGATTGACACTGATGCATTATAGGCCAGCATGAACTTGAGTCATTGATTTAAGTGATTGAGTACCCTAGTACTTACACATAGTTGGAATTTACAGGATTAAGCAGAATGTTACTGAATTTGGAGTTTAGAGTCTGCTTGTTCTGCATTTTTCTATGCAAGTGAATGGCGTAGTGTCTTTTGATTTATAAATTCAATCGACTATATGATGTGTTGTTTTTTATTTAGTTAAACTGTTAAAAGAAATGCAGAAAAATAATAAGTATTAATAAACTATCTGGAAGTAGAATTAAAGGATTTAGTTGCATAAAACGTAAAAATGTTTTAATTATTTTAGTAAAAAATGTTTTTTCATAACTTTATTTCATTTAATATCCATTTTGATTTTAAAAATGTTGTAATCATTGTATTAATTGTTGTAATAGTTGTATTAAAGGTGCATTATGTGTCTGCATATAACCGAGTGGTTAAGAGTGCCGACCAACATATAGGATTATGGTGCTCAAGGTAGGGCTGTGCGATTTAATCAAAATCGAATTGCAATTGCAACTTGAAATGTTGCGATTACCTAATCATAAGGGGCTGCGATATTAAATATATTTGTATTATTTAATTTCCCTTGCCCAGAGCAACTGCTTGACTTTCGTCTTTGTGTGATTGTCTTACTAGCAATTGAGTGAGCACAATTGAGTGATGCGTGTCTTGCTAAAGTCAACTAAAGAATTGCCAGTAGCTACGTTTCCATTCACCGATTTACATGTGCATTTTGGATATGCACATAAAAAAACGGTTAATGGAAACGCCAATATTCGCATACATTTTGAAAATGCATATAAAAAACATTTGCAGATAACCGAGTAGTATAAACTTTTTATTTGATCAGAAGAGATGCTCATAAACTGCGATGGAGACGCTTTTATCGCACAAATTCCAGTATGCGCATTCAAAAAGGTCATGTGGTTTTGTTAGAAGAGGTCATGTGATGATAGAAATGTGTGTGAATGGATAAACTGGGCAGGCTGAGCATATTTGTAAAACATCTAAAACCTTAACCGTTTCAGTATTAGTATTATTATATTATTAATGACCTAAAGAATCCAGAGAGTCTGTGCTCTGCGTCTGACACCTTCAAACGCCACCGCGCATTCACTGCGTGTCATGATTGTCTTCTGAGGCGCAAGTCATTTATTAAATATAGAAAAGATTGATGCAGCTTCTCAAACCGCAGCAAATTACATTTTTACTGTTGATATTTGCTGCCAGTTATTCAGGAAATGACGATTTTTGTTGGCTTTGACTCGTTGGATGGAAACACTGCTTTATTCGCACGTCTTTTATGCCATTATCCAGTTTTGCGCATAAAGTTTATTTACATTTTTGGATGGAAACATAGTTACTGACACTCAATCTAATAGCAAGCAACAGCAACGTACAATTTTAGAGTTGTTTCAGCCATGCTAGTTTGCTGAGTGTTCTGTATTTTATAGGGCTGTAACGATACACCAAACCCACGATTCGGTTCGTATCACGATTTTTGACCCACGATTCGATTCGTATCACGATTTTTTATTTAATTTTTTTTGTGTGGGGTGGGGAAAAAAAAGATTTTTAAAACTATTTTTTATTAAATAACATTTGAAAAATCTTTATAAACTAAACATCAAAGAACAATATTAACTATGCAAATTATTAACAATATAAATAGCCATATATAAAATAAATAAATAGGCAAAGCTATATCACTTCTGTTTTCTTTGTAACAAAATACTGTTGAAAAACCAAACTAAACTCCATTGTTTAGATGGTTCAAGCATGTTGAAAATTATTTTTCAATCAAGTTCTCTTGAATAGAAAAAGTAAATTAAATAGCTAGGGATGCTAATTTCGTTAATTTTGCTAACTGACAACCGCCGCTCATTAATCGGTTATTACGGGTAACTGGTCAGATTACTATTAATTTTATATTAAACAAATTGACGTGTCTATTTTGTGTATGACACAATAAATATTGCATTTTAAAATACTGATTTATTTTTATATATTAATAGCGGAACAGAACAACAGAGCATCTTCACGCACCTGCAGTGTTTAGCACAGAAGAGCAGAATAATCTAAATAAAATGAATTAAATAAATAGGACTGCCCTAAATTATTTTCACTTAAATAATTAATTTATTTTACAAAACGAAAATACTGACTGATTCTTTTTAATAACCGGCATAGGCTTTTTTTCCAATCTTATGTTTATTTCTTCCGTCAAATAAAAATCGCAGACTTCCTCAAATTGCCCGCTCCACGGAAAATATGCATTTATTTAATGCCCCGCTGTTATTATTATAATCATAAAACCTTTTACATTTTAATAGAAATCCTTATTTTAAAGATTATGTCCTGATATAGCCTATGGTTTCCTCTCTCTCCCTCGCGGTTCAAGTGCGCGCGCTGCCTGATGAAAAGACAACAACAGGCGCGCATATGTTGACTTTTTGTAAACAGTTTGTTTAAATATGATATTGCATTAATCTGCGTACATGCTTTAAGCTGTAA